GGGATGGATGTGTCAGAGGCAGTGAGATTGGCACAGGATAGAGCAGGGTTTAGGGCTGTTGTACATAGGGTCGCTATGAGTCACAAGCGACTCGACGGCACATAACAACAACAAACAACAACATACATATTACCTAGAAATATACATTTTTAAAGAATGTGACAATAATAATTTTAGACAAAACAGATAAACGACTTTTCAAAGCTCCTAAGTGTTTGTTTATATAAAGCGCTTATATAAAAAGTATTAAAGGTTTATATACCATTTAATCTGAATGTTAACTTTATGAATACTAATTATATGCTAAAGAGCTTTGTTGCTTGTTGCACTATTAACTAAAAGTGGTTTGAGTCCACTAGTTGCTCTGTAGGAGGAAAGATGAAGAATCTCTTCCTTAGATTTACAGCCTTGGAAACATAACAGATGGTTGCGATGAGTTGCAATCTATACAATAGCAGTGGGTAATCACACCTTCGGAAGTATTCACATGACTACGCACTGACAGAAAAATGTTGCTAAGCACCATACCTAAAAACTCAAGTAGCTCTTGAAAACTGAATTGCCACATACCCAAATAATGCTCATGCACTCTAATGACTTCACACAGCCCAGGGTCTTCAGAATCCAGGGGTAAAATGCCTGAAAATGGAAATGAAACATTTAAGAAAGATAATTGAAATATGACAAGTATGAATGTATTACTAACAAAGCCATGGTCAATATAAAGTTTGTCCAGTGGTATTCAGAGTAAAGATTCCAGCAATAACCTGAGAGAGGGAAGGGAGTTTGTAGAAACATGGAAGAGTGTTCGTTCACTGACATGAACATGTTAACATCTTTTTCTTTCCCACCACAGTCACAGTAATGACAACGGCTAATGTGTAGAACAAGTATGGATTTGAGGATACCTAGTTTCTTCGTTCTAATTTTCTGTTTCACAGTACATTCCTATGGTTGTGTAGCCTGAGGTTTATTTTAGCATCCTTCCAATGGAATCCTAATTTCTTTCATAGTTTGATTGTATTTTTGGCTTTATAAAAACCAAACAAAAGAAAAGTGACTTTTCTTTAAAAATAACTGACTTCCTGAACAGCAACAAAGATATGAAAATCAGAAAATACACATTCTCTAGAATTAATGAGTCAAATACTACAAAAAGCTGGGAAAAAACCTTCCTACAAAATGTTCTCATATTTAAAGTTTATATGAACATCTTCAATAGAGAAAGAATAATTTTAAAGATTATTGCTAAAGCAATATACTATAAATATTTGTATAACTGCCTTGGTATTAAGTATAGATTTACATATTTACAAAAACAGTAATAATTTTAAAGCCAACACATATTTCAAATAAAATTTTGCTGTAGAAGGAGCAAGAAAGATTCATGGGAGATTGTAAAGAATGGAGCTTCTATAAAGCTAGCTAACCTAGCCAGCAGTCTTAAAGCAGATGACTTAGGTGATCTTTCTTTTCTTCTGGGCCTTTACTGGTCATAGACAGGAGAATTTCTGTGTATCCTTCTGTTGTACACGGGGTCACTATGAACTGCAGATGACCCAAAAGTGACCAATGTTGTTTCAAATGACAGATGAAACTCTGGACGTACTCATCATTCTATGCCAAGAAATGTGGAGAACAACTGCCTGGCCAACTGAAAGAGATCGTTTGTTGCCATTCCCAAGAATGGTGACCCAACAGAATGGAAATTATTGAACAACATCATTAATATCACATAAGCAAA